ACTCTTTCCTGGAGTGCCACAAAATTAGAATTTTTCAATCACGGTTAATTCCGTCTCCCCACTTCCCCACCCAAGTTTGTACCTTAAGCATTGAGAGGCATGTTTTGAATGCACGGAAAAGGCTAAACTATAATCATTGGCTAAAGTCTAATCCCTCTTGCAATCCCAATAAATGAAAACTAAATATCAGCAAATGGATGAATTTCGGAGAAACATCTGTGTTCCATTACAGAATCGCTGGCAACAATGCTGTTGACATACTCTGTGTTACCAGTTATTTCCTCTTGGATTTGCCGAGACTGGAGGATTCCTTCTCGTTTCTGAAAACGGGGGTGGGGAGAGGGTTGGGAGGAAGAGAGAAAAATATGCATTAGAAAAATACAAAAAAACTGATTAGCATTCCTCATACTTAGAAAGTTACTGGCGTTTAAGAAATGAATCCAGAGACGAGATACTGCTAGAAGTGAAGTGAGGCTCCTGATTTCCTGGGACTGGACTGTACCATTCATACTTAAGTGCAATTAGTGTTTATTCCAAACAAGTCGGCTGTTTCTTGGATGGTGAATCTTTTCTTTCTTTATTGGAAGACATTCTGCTGGAAGCACACTGTTTGCCTCCTGGAGAAATCCACAGTAAACCAAATGGAAATGAGGGCCAGGGTGTGTCTGCCCTCCAGCTGGGGCCATGGAGGGAAGCGGAGAAACACATTTAACTGGGGCGGCTGGGGTGGAAGAACTGAGGTCAACTTGGAGAATTCAGAGGGAGAATTTTCAAAAAACGTTTAAATAGAGGAGCTTTTAAGTAAGTAGTACAGTCCTTGGGTGACTAGCTTACTCTCTGAGAAAAGCGTAGGCACTTTGGAGGTCCATCCACCCACCCAAACTGCCATCCATCCACCCACCCACCCATCCATCCATCCCCACATGCATCCATCCATCATCTGTCTACCCCTTCCCATCAATTCATTCTCTTTCTTCTCTGTTTCATTAATCAGTGCCTTCTCTGTACAAGCCACCGTGTTGGACTTAGCAAACACTGTGGAACATATGACATAGTTTCGGACCTTGAGGAACTTAAGAGTAAAATGGGGTAGATGAACAGGTATGCAAGAACAGTTTTCCCCAGACAGTCCTCCTGGTTTAGGCCTCAGGTCCCAGCTCAGTTATTAGAGTAGGATCCCCTTTCCCTCTCAAATGTGTCATGGATAATTAATTACATGGTGGCCCCTTGCAGAGAGGAAGTGCTGAGTGCAGGACAGGAACAAGTACTTTCAGCTGAGAGGGTCAGGGAAACCTTCCAGGGGGAAGGGTTCTTGAGCTGGAACTTAAAGGACAGCTAGGATTTGGCTGGACACAGAGGAGGGACCTCTTCAGTGGGAGGAATGGCTGGAGCAAAAAGGCAGAGTAGGAGAGTACAGGCGTGTTCAGGAGGCCGTTTGGAGGGACAGTGGCTGCCCTTGGTCAGTTGAGTGCTGGTTTGGAGTTTAAACCTCACTGTGTGGGCATGGGAACCGATGAAGGAGTGCTGGCGGTCAGGAAGACCTTCTGATGGGGGTGAGGAGGGAGATGCATTTATCAGGTTCCTACACAATCAGTTACCAGACGCTTGGAAGGCAGTCTGGGCAGGGCAAGAGGCTGTCAGAGCAAATCCGTCTTCCACAAAGACTGAGATGTGTCAAGAGGGATCCTCCAAGCATTAGTGTTTCAGCTGAAATCTGCCTTCTTGACCCTCCTGCCCAAACTTCCACAACCTTTTCTTCACATTCCCAATAGCCACAGAAACTGGCGTCCTTGCAAAATACTTTTACAGAAGGAAAGGTAGAGCTGGATAAAGGCCATGAGTGTATCTGGATTAGATTAAGAAGAATGAACTATCAAAGCAAAAAAGGAAGAAAAACATTAAAATACCATTTAACAAAGATCTAGTGTGGATAAACCAGGACTTTTTCCAAATTCAGCTTCAACATATGTAAAATTTTCACACAGGGCTAATGGAATCTGTGTCCTTGTCTTGCGAGGCTGTTCACAGACATCAAACGTCATCTTCAACTACATGCAGAATTAAATGCTGGTACACAGAATGGAAAAGAAATCTGGGTTCAATGACACCTCACACAGCGTCCTGATTCACTCCGATCCACTGTTCCCTAAAGAACTCTCTCTGTAGTTCAGTCAGTGTCTTACAGCCAATTCTGAGTCCTGCTTCTGTGCCTGTTTAACTTGGTAACGCAAAACACCCCATAAACCCTGACATACCTTGATGCCATTTTATGTAATGCCTCCTCCTTTCTCCCTCACACTAACAAAACTGCCTGCAGTAGAAATTAAACCAGCAACAGCCTTCTGATGGCCTATAATTGAGCTCAAAATAAGGCATGAGACATGGGCTTCCAGTGACCACTGTTTCCCCTGCAACCCTCGCAAATCCTGAATCATAGTTTTAAAAAATGTAATGGAATGGATTCACACTTTATTGATTGTTAAAAAATGACACAACAGAGAGGGCCTGGATTCACTAGGAAGATGCATGTACCAGGATGCTCTGGGCTGGCCACATATTCATAAAATGCTTAGCACCATGCTTGACATGGTTGACAGCCCAATAAATGAAGCCAATTAGTCTCTTTCAGTCAGCTGCACTTAGTGCTGGAACCCCACATGTTTGCATTGACAAGGGGCTTCTGATAGCCCTCTCTGCTGCTTATGTATAGTCCTGTCTCGGGACAGGCAGGGCCAAGATGTCATCTTCCTATTATACCCCCTTGATGTTTAGCAAGTTAAGTACCCAGAAGGCGCTGGAAGAAATACTTTTTCATTAGGGCATTGGCTGAGCAGCACCCCCATGTCCTCCTCCCCTCCCCCATTCACTTCTGATCCCTGAAAGCTCAGCCCTTCTGTCCTGGAAGCTGGCCTGGCCTCGCCTCTCAGGCAAAGCCTACCTGCCCTCCAGGCTCTTCCTCACCAAGGGGTGGCAGAGTTGCCAGACAGGACCCTGGATAACCTTGGATAGCCAGGGAGCTGCTCATAAGGGATGTTCTCCCTTGTAGCATGTTTATTTGGAAAAGAACAGAAGCCAACAAAATGACGACCTTTTGCTCACGGGCATAAAGTTGGAAAATAAAATTGAATTTGAGTGTCTAATGGGGTTAGGAGCAGAGTGAGATAGTCACAGGGAGAGAGCATCCCCTCATTGTGGAAATCACACAGCCATGTGTGAATGGAAATTCCATCCAACAATCTGGAAAAAATGACTTGAGATACCAGCTGTGCTTCTCTGGGCAGGTGAAAATCGGCAGTGCCCTCAACACAGGCACGGCCTGTCAGGGTCTCTCTCAAATACACACATGTACACATGCACAGATACTTGCTTCTTCTCAATAACTATGCATTGTTTGTTTAACCAAAAAATGATTCTCGGGCTTCCCTGGTGGCGCAGTGGTTAAGAATCCTCCTGCCAATGCAGGGGACATGGGTTTGAGCCCTGGTCCTGGAAGATCCCACATGCCACGGAGCAACTAAGCCTGTGCACCATAACTACTGAGCCTGCGCTCTAGAGCCTGTGCTCTGCAGAAAGAAGCCACTGCAATGAGAAGCCCATGCACTACAATGAAGAGTTGCCCCCGCTCGCCGCAACTAGAGAAAGCCCATGCGCAGCAATGAAGACCCAGTGCAGCCATAAATAAATAAATAAATAAATAAATAAATAAATAAATAAATAAATAAATAAATAAATAAGGCAGCCCAAACAATCGACAACTCTACCAACATTTAAAATCCACAGGCCTATGACCCCATGATCCCACTCCTGGGGCTCCATACTGTGGACACTGGAGCACGAGGCTGCATTATTTAAAAAAAAAAAAAAAGATTCTCCCTGGCTGGCAGGACACACACACACACACACAGATACAGCCTCCAGATCCTACTACACAGACCTCACAAATATATACACCACACACCCTCAAATATACATTACACAGGCACCCTCCCGAGGAAAGCAATGTAAACCCCAGGCACACGTCCCACACAAGCCTGTCCCAGACAGAAGCACATGCTCTTCCACCCTTTGCACACATATCAGGGATAAGCCCACATGCATCAGAAAGCTCACTCACATGCCTCCCAGCATATGGCACACCCAGACACGCTCAGCATTCATTCAGCGTTCCTTCTAGCAAGCTACCCAGTGTGCCTTGGCTCTCACAGGAGCTTAGCCCCTGCACCCCTTTAAGGGTGCGGATGTTTTTAGTGGTTTCTAACTTACCTGAACCACAACCACTTGGATGGAAACATGATCTGGGAGTCGGATTGGTGCCCGGAAATACTGGGACAGAGCAACCAGCAGATGCAAGATGGCTACCAGGCTCTTGGCATGAACAGCTGAAATAAAAGATGATTTATAAATTAGAGAATCTTCTTCTAGGTTCTCAGCAGATATAAGCAGATATCCAGAGTGTAGCAGTACTACACCCAATGCCCCTTTCATCCCACCCCTATGGGTCAGGGGACACGCTTGGTCATCATGGGCCTCACCCTGGGACCCCTCGGTTCTCAGCCAGGTCCCGTGGATCTGCTTCTTAAGATCATGTTATTGCTGGATGGCCAAGTTGTGCTTCTCCACTCTAATCCAAGGTTCCCATTGGGACCCTGACAACAGCTGAATTCTGAGTTCAGGTCAGCCCTCTGCCACCCCCATGTTCTTGTTCACTCTGTGCTGATAACCATGTCTGCTGACCCCCCTCTCCCTTCCTATCTGACTGTGAACTCTGTAGGTTATCACCACTACCCTTGTCCCAAGGCTCTACACAAAGCAGGCCCTCAATCAATGGACACTGAGTCAGGACACTGGATCCCTTCCTTTGTTCAGGGCTTTAAGACACCTGGAGGAAGGCATGAGAGACATTTAAAGGACTTTGTTGCTCTCTTGAGTGCCATATATAGTCAGTGCAGGCAATGCCCTCTGGGCAATAGCTGGGAGGGGATGTTCATGACCCAGGTGGCTTCTATAGCTGAGCTGTGTGCCAGATGTTAGGTCATTTATGCTGGAGAAGGCTGGGCAACTACTGAGTTGTAGTTTTCTCAGTAGATGAGAGGAGAAAAAGACTGTGATGTAACAGGCACACACAGTGTTGGCCAACGGGAGCTTGAGTTCTCACTTGACAACTCTACCATTTATTTACTGAGTATATGACCTTAGGTAGGCCACCTAAGGTCCCTGAGCCTCAGTCTGTTCAACCTCACACATGGGGATAACAGTGCCCATGCAGAAACATGGGTAGTAAGAATTTCCAGACATAATGTTGGCAAAGCTCCTAGTATATAGCAATGCCTAGGAATGATTGATATTTTCTATTATCACTTATGAGAAAGTATCTGGCATCTAGGCAATTAATGTCAACTTTCTCCCCTTTCTTTCATAAAAGGGAAGAGTCCCCAGATACTTTACCTGCCTTCACAGTCCTACCAGCGTTATGGCTCTCATTACAGGGGGCATTTAAGGAAAGAGCAAAAAATTGTCCATTTTGTGTAGTTAGCATGAACTGGGCCCATTATTATGGTGTCATTCTGTCTGCCCTGGGATCAATGAATCCACTCTAACAGAAGCTTTGAGAAATCACCAAGAAAAGGAAATGATCCAGACAATCCTTGGGGACTCACTAGAGTTTCCTGTTATCACTGCTGCTTCAAAGAAGGTTTTCCACTGACTATGAACAGCAGCTCAATGCCAGCATCAAATAGCAGATGAGCTGCTCCTAACTCGTAGCCTTACAGAAGAAGTGTTTACTTCTGGGCTTTTGGGCTTTGCCAACTAAGTGTCACCCACAGTTATAGCCTCAAAAAAGGCACCTGGCATGGACTGACCCACTGACATGATGGACAGAGGCAAAAACCGGGTTTGCTCTTCTGGTCAGAACTGCCACTGCATCAGTCCCGTCACTGAGGGTTGTAAGGATATTTGCTATCTCTCCCCTTTAATGACAAAACATAATGCTGGAAAAGCAGTGGTCAGAAAGGTTGTTCTCACACATTGGTGACACTGTGTGTTACCTTGACTGTCTTCGTAAGCAAAGTAGAGCTATGCTGTAGGCACCATACAGGTGTCAGATTCTTTCAATGAGTACTCTGTCCTCCTGGGTGTTTTTTCAAGAGAAATAATTACACAGTTTCCTTCTCTATCTCTCTCTCACAGACATACATGCTATGTATAAAAAGATGTTAATTAATAAATGCTGGAGAGGGTGTAGAGAAAAGGGAACCCTCCTACACCGTTGGTGGGAATGTAAATTGGTGCCGTCACTATGGAGAACAGGATGGAGGTTCCTCAAAAACCTAAATATGGAGTGCCCATATGATCCTGCAATCCCATTCCTGGGCATATATCCGGATAAAACTATAATTTGAAAAGATACATGCACCCCTATATTCATAGCAGCACTATTTACAATAGTCAAGACATAAAAACAACCTAAATGCGTATCAATAGATGAATGGATAAAGAAGCTATAGTGTGTGTGTGTGTGTGTGTGTGTGTACATACACACACACACACACAATGGAATACTACTCATCCATAAAAAAGAATGAAATAATGCCATTTGCAGCAACATGGCTGGACCTAGAGATTGTCATACTAAGTGAAGTCAGAAAGAGAAAGATGAATACCATACGATATTACATATATGTGGTATCTAAAATATGACACAAATGAACTTATCTACGAAACAGAAATAGACTCACAGACTTAGAGAACAGACTTGTGGCTGCCAAGGGGGAGGATGGGTAGGGGAGGGATGGATTGGGAGTTTTGGATTAGCATATGCAAATTATTATATATAGAATGGATAAACAACAAAGTCCTACTGTATAGCACAGGGAACTATATTCGATATCCTGTAATAAACAAACCATAATGGAAAAGAAAAAAAGGATGTTAATTATTGTGTAATATATTATCCTTAAAAAAAAATCTGAAACACATATATCCAAATGAAAGACAATGGTTGACCAGTGGTTTTCAAATTTTTAAAAATTAAGCAGAGAAATCCTTTGTTCTAAAAACCACTAGGCAAACCTGATAAAAAACAGTGCAACTGCTCTGGTCCCTTTGTCCTAACTACAGCCCGCCCACAGCTGCTTCTCTTCTCCTCAATGATGCCTGAGTTTTTCCTTGCAGATCCCCAGGTTGGGCCAAGCATGGTTTAATAGTCACTGCTTTAATAAATTATGGTACATTCACATAATGAAATAGTTTGCATGCACTGAAAATCATTAAGACAATGTAGCTATAAATATTAATAATATAATGTTAACGAGAACTAGAAATAATGTATATATATACATTCATGGATTTATGCATAAATACACATATTTGTGTATATATACATATATAAATATACATACACATGCACATACATACACAAATATGCACGTGCACGCGCGCGCGCACACACACACACACACACACACACACACGTACTTGTGGCCAAGACTTGGAAAGTTAAAAAAAAAAAAGAAAATAGTTATGCTGTAGTTGAAAGATTTTTTTTTTCCTGTTTCAAATGTTTCTTTCGAATAAAGACATGTTATCTTTTCAATTAAGAAAACTTCTAACTACCTTTGCATATCTGGGCACTCTCATCATTGCCATCTCTCAGCACATCTGCTGGGAGTCTTCTCCCTTAGGCCAGGCAGAACCCAGGGCCACTGTGCTCCTGCACTCCAGTCAGGATGAAAACATGCAGAATGACAGCAGGGTTGAGAAGCCAAGACTCCGCTGTATAAACTGGGCCCTGCAGCCACTGTGCCAAGAGGGTCACTCCAGTGCTGGGAGACCATTTCAAAGGAGCTGTTGAGTTAGAAGCAGTCCTCCAAACTTGAATTGTGGTGGAAACAGAAACTGGTACAATTTGTGGGGAGGCAATTTGACAATATGTGATAGGACCTTAAAATGTACATATTCTTTGGCCCTAAACTACCACTCCTAGGTATTCATCCTTAAGAAGTAATTATGTCTAATGAGCAGAAAGAACTCATCAGGCTGTATTGATATTAGTGAAAAAATGGGAAAAAAAAATCTTAAGATCTTTTGTTAGTTAAGTAAATTATGATATACCCATCTATGTCATAGAATATTAAAAGTGACATATAGAAGGATGATCTGTAAAGCTATACATCTTCTAAATAATATATACAGGTTGATACCATCTTCGTAAAAATAAGAAAATATATTTTATATATAAGTATATGCACACATTTTATTCATTTATTGACATATTTATTGCTTACACACACACACACACACACACACACACACACACACACACACGACCTGAAGAAACACACCATAAGGCTGACAATGCCTGTATCTGATAGGCAGCTCATGAGGGCAGTATGTGTGGGCTTAGTACACAGGCTCTGCAGGCAGACTCTCTGGGTCTCATTCCTGGCTCCACCACTCCCCACTTCCCCCAACCCCGTGTGACCTTGGACAATGACACTTCTTTAGCAAATAGTATTGTACTTAACATTGCCAGTCACTTTTCCAGGTTTTAGGGATACAGCAGTAAAGAGACAAAAATCCTTGCCCTCAGGAAGCTTACACTCACTGTTTCTTAACCTCTCTATGCCTTGACTTTTCCATTCGTAAAATGGGGACAGTAAAGTTCTTACCTCAGATGGTTGAATGAAGATTGCAAGACTCAAAATATGTAAAATGTTTAGATTAGTACAAGGCATACAAGCACCGTAAATTCGTTAGGTGTTATTTAAATCTCTTTTAATTGATCTGTATTTTCTAAGTTTTCAATAATGAAAATTATTGTTGCTAATAAAAAAAAAAATAGAAAAGGAAGAACTCCCTAAAACCCTGGATCAAGGACCTTGGGAACTCAGCAGCTGTCTCTGCCACCCTTTTCCTGAGCAGAAGGATGACACGATGTCCCCAGAAACAGCCAGGGAAGATAACCGAGAGAGGAGGTGTTGGAGCCTGCCCTGGAGTTGCGCCTGCTGCATTCCTTATCACAGAAACCACTGCTGCCTGAAGCCCTGAGACATCGCGGGGAGCTGGCCACTGAAATAATTATTCCCTCTGACCTAGTAATTGCTCTCAGTTCTAAAAATCTATCTGACGAGAGTAATTCAAGAGAAGCAAAAAGAGTCACAACATAACGTTTAACTCGGCCCTGTCTGATATTAGCAATAATCGGAAAAACATCCTAAAAGGATAATGTCAGCATAGGGTTTAAGTTAACTATGGAATATCTACCCCAGGAAATAGAGCAGCTATCAAAAATTATAATTACAGGGATTCCCTGGTGGCGCAGTGGTTGAGAGTCCGCCTGCCGATGCAGGGGACACGGGTTTGTGCCCCGGTCCGGGAGGATCCCACATGCCGCAGAGCGGCTGGGCCCGTGAGCCATGGCCGCTGAGCCTGCGCGTCCGGAGCCTCTGCAACGGGAGAGGCCACAACAGTGAGAGGCCCGCGTACCGCAAAAAAAAAAAAAAAAAAAAAAAAAAAAAAAAAATATATATATATATATATATATATAACTACAAAGACCACATGTGAATATAGAAGATGTGTATGATGTAACCTTAAGACAAAGTGAGTTTGTATATACCTTCATCAAGTAAAAATATGAAAAAATATGCATTGATGTGGACGGTAATGCCAAAAAAACGAAAACAGCCAGATGAGAGTGGTAATACAGGTGATTATTTTACTCCTACACATTTCCCCATAAGAAATGAAAGTGAATGCAAACCCAAAACAAATCATTCAAAGCCACTGAAGACAGTGGTTCTGAAGTGGCTTTAAAAAACTCCTTTCTTAAGGCAGGCAAAATGGTTTGGGGGTGGGGAAGATGGGATGAAGAACGTTTCAGATCAAGGAAATATCTTCCAGAAGTGGTTCTAGAAAGGTGGGAATATTGTGGCCCATTTAAATGAGGCCAGTGTATGGATGACGAAGAGAGGCTGAGAAAGCACGAAGTATATGTGTGGCTGGAGAGGTAAGTGGGAGGCCAATCAGATGTTATGGGTTGATATGCGGCCCCCAGCCTCCAATTCATATGTTGAAGTCCTAACCTCCAGTCCCTCTGAATGTGACCTTATTTGTAAAATCATTGCAGATGTGATTAGTTAAGATGAGGTCACATTGGAGTAGGGTGATCCCCTAATCCAATATGACAAGTGTCCTTATAAAAAAGGGAAAATTTGGACACAGAGACATGCATAGAAGGAAGATGATGTGGCCTGTAACAGATCCTTCCCTTGCAGCCCTCAGAAGGAACCAACCTACCAACACCTTCATCTCAGACTTGTGGCTTCCAGGACTCTGAGCAAATAAATTTCTGTTACCTAAAAACAAACAAAACAAAACAATTCCATTCTTCCTATTTCCCAAATTGGGTTCCATGATAAATGAAAAGGTGTTTTGAAACCACAAGGTCTTACTGTATAGCACAGGGAACTATATTCAATATCCTGTGATAAACCATAATGGAAAAGAATTTTTAAAAGAATGTGTATATATGTATAACTGAGTCACTTTGCTGTACAGCAGAAATTAACAGAACATTAGATGGTAAATCAACTATACTTCAATTAAAAGAAAAGAAAGATAAAAGGGGTTTTGTTTTGGAGTGGTATATAGAGATGGTCCATACTCAAGGGAGTGGGAAACAGGATCAAACAAAACTAAGCAGAGGTCACCATCAGAGGACTTTAATGCTTATGACTATCATGGACTTCCAGAATGCAGATCCATTTCCCCAACTAGTGATCAGCCCCTTTTTCCCTCCCGCGCTGAACACTATTAGCATTCCTGGGACACGGGGCAGCATATAGGGCCCAGAGCCGTGGCCTCCCCTCCTCCTGCCCTCAGGTGTCTCTGCTCCACAGAGGATGCCCTGTTCCCAGCGTGCTGCTAGAGGTAGCTCTTCACGCTGTGCAAGCAAAGGTGTCATTGTGCTGAAGGAGGTGCTTGGCGTCTCGCCTCTGACGGCGGGTGTTAGGAACCTGCTGAAGAGATTGCCATTGGCAGCTGCTGGGTCTCTAACTTGGAAAGCTGAAGATTCCCTTTTCTTTCCCAAGTCTGAAAGGTGTTTTTTGTTGTTGTTTTTTTTTTGGTGGCGGTGGGGGGGGGGGGAAGATGTCCATTTTAATCTGTATACATCAGATGCAATAAGATATAATACTCAACCCCTAATGCTTAAAGGCAGGAAACACAATCTCAGTCATTTTATTAATCTAAATTCATACTTTTATCTATTACAAGGAACAAAACAACTTTGGGCTCCTGATGGGAAACAGGTTGTTGCTACTGGATTCGCCCAAATCTGCTGATTCCATGTTGACTCTGATATGGACTCAATCAAGTCCATATTAGACAGGCCCTTGAGGCAGCGAAAGAATGAACAGTTTATACTTTCTGAGATCCTTGAGATACACTAGCACGAAAACCTGAATTTTAAAATCCTATTCCATTGCCTATGCTCTTAGCCGTATCTTTGCTCCCTCTGGGCAATAAGGGGGTGAGAGGAAGGGCGTGGGCACTGGAACAGACCCAAGTCCTTGCTCCCCACTTCTCAGCTGCCTGAACTGGGCATCTCCACTTCCCAGAGCTTCAACAAGCTGGAGACAGGAGCAAGGTTGTGCTGAGACTCAGAAGTACCTCAATGAATAGGAGCTTCCTTCTCCACCAATCTCACGTGAGGTTCCTAAAGAGAGCCTTTTACAGAAAAGGCACACTAGACTTTGACATTTTGCTATTTTTCTCAGCTTTCCTTAGATGTGGATGATGAGCTTCCTTTCTAAGGAAAGGCATATCTCGCTCAGAGATAAATGAGTTTGCACCCATCCGGGGCCTCCCAGCTTATAATGCAGCTTCCTGGGGAAACTCCACAGTAGGAGCCACAGGTGTCATGTAACAGTCCCATCTTCCTTTGCAAAACTCACTGTCTACATTCCACTTGATGCTCCTGGGAGGAAGTTTCAGGGTTTCATTGATCTTCTCCAGGACAGTCTGCAGCTTTTGCTTCTGGGCAATCTCTGACTGGGTGACCTCAGCGACGTTCAGCTTCTCACTCTCAAGTTTCTCTAGGGTGACAAGGGAAAAGAGAACGGCTGTTGCCTTTGCCACAGACAGACCTAACCCACGCACTCACACATTCACTCACTCACTCACCATACTGAGCACCTAGTATGTGAGGGACGCTGCTCTCCCCTCCTCGTCTGGTCGTGGCAATGGTGGTGCCATTATGTATTGTGAAAACCTTGTGATTGTGTCTTGAAGCCCCAAATTATAAGATCTCAGGATCCTAGAGGGAGGGCATTTAACCCAGCTTGTCATATTTGAGCTCTTTTTCCTCATTCTGAGGTTTTCCCTCTCCTTTTCACCTCGGTCTTCTCCAAAGACACTCCTGTGCCCTGACTGGAAAGCCTTCGTGCTTGCCTGGGCAGTGGTCAAGTCCTTATCCAAGGTGTTTTGAACACTCCTGTAGTACAATATGTGTCCTGTTGAATCATATTTATGTCTTAAGTACCTTCTTTCCTTTTAAACCCACCTGGAAGGTAACTAATTTGATGTGTCCTACTTCACTAATTCTAATGTACACACTTTTCACATTTTAACATCCCTGAAATCAGGCTGTGGCTTAAAATTGATGGCATCCTACAACTACCAACAGCCAGGTGGAAGGTATAAGAGTTATCACTGCTTCCAGGTGTGTGAACTTGGTCATAGCTCTTCACAGTGTGGTCACTTCCGTGTCTCAAAAAGCCTACAAGATGCTGTACCGCAGAAATTAACACAACATTGTAAATCAACTATACTTCAATAGAATAACTTAAAAAAGAACCTACAAGAGCAATTTCAAACAGTAGAACATAAAAATTCTAAGCAATAAGAAAGCATTGGGTAATAGTTTCATTGAAGTGCTTTTTTCTCTTTGAGTGGTACTTATACTGGTATGTTTTAAAATCAATGGCTCTGGATTGGTTCAAGATGGCAGAGAAGGACGTGCACTCACTCCTTCTTGAGAGAGCACTGGAATCATAACTAACTGCTGAACAGTCATTGACAGGAAGACACTGGACCTCACCAAAAAAATACCCCACATCCAAAGACAAAGGAGAAGCCACAGTGAGATGGTAGGAGGGGTGCAATCACAATAAAATCAAATCTCATAACCGCTGGGTGGCTGACTCACAAACTGGAGAACAATTTATACCACAGAAGTCCACCCACTGGAGTGAAGGTTCTGAGCCTCACGTCAGGCTTCCCAACCTGGGGGCCCGGCAACGGGAGGAGGCATTCCCAGAGAATCAGACTTCGAAGGCTAGTGGGATTTGATTGCAGGACTTCGACAAGACTGGGGGAAACAGAGACGGAACTCTTGGAGGGCACACACAAAGTAGTGTGTGCATCGGGACCCAGGGGAAGGAGCAGTGACCCCATAGGAGACTGAACCAGACCTACCTGCTAGTGTTGGAGGGTCTCCTGCAGAGGTGGGGGTTGGCTGTGGCTCACCGTGAGGAAAAGGACACTGGAAGCAGAAGTTCTGGGAAGTACTCCTTGGTGTGAGCCCTCCCAGAGTCCGCTATTTGCCCCACCAAAGAGCCTGTAGCCTCCAGTGCTGGATTGCCTCAGGCCGAACAACCAACAGGGAGGGAACTCAGCCCCACCCATCAGCAGAAAAGCAGATTAAAGTTTTACTGAGCTCTGCCCACCAGAGCAAGACCCAGCTCTACCCACCACTGGTCCCTTCCATCAGGAAGCTTGCACAAGCCTCTTAGATAGCCTCATCCACCAGAGGGCAGACAGCAGAAGCAAGAAGAACTACAATCCTGCAGCCTGTGGAACAAAAACCACATTCACAGAAAGACAGACAAAATGAAAAGGCAGAGGACTATGTACCAGATGAAGGAACAAGATAAAACCCCATAAAAACAACTAAATGAAGTGGCGATAGGCAACCTTTCAAAAAAAGAATTCAGAATAATGATAGTGAAGATGATCCAGGACCTTGGAAACAGAATGGAGGCAAAGATCGAGAAGATGCAAGAAATGTTTAACAAAGAACTAGAAGAATTAAAGAACATACAAACAGAGATGAACAATACAATAACTGAAATGAAAAATACACTAGAAGGAATCAATAGCAGAATAAATGAGGCAGAAGAATGGATAAGTGACCTGGAAGACAGAATGGTGGAATTCACTGCCACGGAAAAGAATAAAGAAAAGAGAGTGAAAAGGAATGCGGACAGTCTAAGAGACCTCTGGGACAACATTAAATGCACCAACATTCACATTATAGGGGTGTCAGAAGGAGAAGAGAGAGAGAAAGGACCCGAGAAAATATTTGAAGAGATTATAGTCGAAAATTTCCCTAACATGGGAAAGGAAATAGCCACTCAAGTCCAGGAAGCACAGAGAACCAGGGAGGATAAACCCAAGGAGAAACACGCCAAGACACATAGTAATCAAACTGGCAAAAATTAAAGACAAATTATTAACAGGGGCAAGGGAAAAATGACCAATAACATAGAAGGGAACTCCCATAAGGTTAACAGCTGATTTCTTAGCAGAAATTCTACAAGCCAGAAGGGAGAGGCACGATATATTTTACGTGATGAAAGGGAAGAACCCACAACCAAGATTACTCACCCCGGTAAGGATCTCATTCAGATTCGAAAGAGAAATCAAAAGCTTTACAGATAAGCAAAAGCTAAAAGAATTCAGCACCACCAAACCAGATCTAAAACAAATGCTAAAGAACCTTCTCTAAGTGGGAAACACAAGAGAAGAAAAAGACCTACAAAACCCCAAAACAATTAAGAAAATGGTAATAGGAACATACATATCGATAATTACATTAAATGTGAATGGATTAAATGCTCCAACCAGAAGACACAGGCTTGCTGAATGGATACAAACACAGGACCTGTATATATGCTGTCTACAAGAGACCCACTTCAGACCCAGGGACGCACACAGGCTGAAAGTGAGGGGATGGAAAAAGATATTCCATGCAAATGGAAATCAAAAGAAAGCTGAAGTAGCAATACTCATATCAGATAAAATATACTTTAAAATAAGGAATGTTACAAGAGACAAGGAAGGACACTACATAATGATCAAGGGATCAATCCAAGAAGAAGATAAAATAATTATAAATATATATGCACCCAACACAGGAGCACCTCAATACATAAGGCAAATGCTAACAGCCATAAAAGAGGAAATTGACAGTACCACAATAATAGTGGGGGACTTTAACACTTCACTTACACCAATGGACAGATCACCCAGACAGAAAATTAATAATGAAACACAAGCTTTAAATGACACAATAGACCAGATAGATTTAATTGATATTTATAGGACATTCCAGCAGAAAACAACAGATTACACTTTCTTCTCAAGTGCACATGAAACATTCTCAAGGATAGGTCACATCTTGGGTCACAAATCAAGCCTCAGTAAATTTAAGAAAACTGAAATCATATGAAGCATCTTTTCCGACCACAACACGATGAGATTAGAAATAAATTACAGTGAAAAAACCGTAAAAAAACACAAAATCATGGAGGCTAAACAATATGTTACTAAATAACCAAGAGATCACTGGAGAAATCAAAGAGGAAATCAAAAAATACCTAGAGACAAATGACAATGACAACACGATGATCCAAAACCTATGGGATGTAGCAAAAGCAGTTCTAAGAGGGAAGTTTATAGCAATACAAGAAACTAGAAAAAATTTCAAATAAACAATCTAACCTTACACCTAAAGGAACTAGAGAAAAAAGAACAAACAAAACCCAAAGTTAGTAGAAGGAAAGAAATCATAAAGATCAGAGCAGAAATAAATGAAATAGAAACAAAGAAAACAATAGCAAAGAGCAATAAAATTACAAGCTGGTTCTTAGAGAAGATAAACAAAATTGATAAACCTTTAGCCAGACTCATCAAGAAAAAGAGGGGGAGGACTCAAATCAATAAAATTGGAAATGAAAAAGGAGAAGTTACAACAGACACCGTAGAAATAAAAAGCATCCTAAGAGACTACTACAAGCAACACTATGCCAATAAAATGGACAACCTGGAAGAAATGGACAAATTCTTAGAAAGGTATAACCTTCCAAGACTGAACCAGGAAGAAACAGAAAATATGAACAGACCAGTCACAAGTAATGAAATTGAAACTGTGATTAAAAATCTTCCAACAAACAAAAGTCCAGGACCAGATGGCTTCACAGGTGAATTCTATCAAACATTTAGAGAAGAGCTAACACCCATCCTTCTCAAGCTTTTCCAAAAAACTGCAGAGGAAGGAGCACTCCCAAGCTCATTCTTTGAGGCCACGAACACCCTGGTACCAAAACCAAAGATAGTACAAAAGAAGAAAATTACCAACCAATATCACTGATGAATATAGATGCAAGAATCCTCAACAAAATACCAGCAAACAGAATCCAACAGCACATTAAAAGGATCATACACCATGATCAAGTGGGATTTATCCCAGGGAGGCAAGGATTCTTCAATATATGCAAATCAATCAATGTGATACACCATATGAAAAAATTGAAGAATAAAAACCATATGATCACCTCAAAAGCAAAAGTTTTTCTGCATCTCTATGCCCATTTTTCTCCAGAAAGTGGGCATAGAGGGAACCTACCTCAACATAATAAAGTCCATATATGACAAACCCACAGCAAACATCATTCTCAACTGTGAAAAACTCAAAAGAATTTCACGAACAAGACAGGAACAAGAGAAGGATGCCCACTCTAGCCACTATTTTTCAACATAGATTTGGAAGTCCTAGCCACGGCAGTCAGAGAAGAAAAAGAAATAAAAGGAATACAAACTGGAAAAGAAGAAGTAAAACTGTCACTGTTTGCAGATGACATGACACTATACATAGAGAATCCTAAAGATGCCACAAGAAAACTACTAGAGTTAATCAATGAATCTGGTAAAGTTGCAGGATACGAAATTAATGCACAGAAATCTCTTGCATTCCTATACACTAACAACAAAATATCAGAAAGAGAAATTAAGGAAACAATCCCATTCACCACTG